CGTTTGGAAAAAGGTCAAAGGTGGTCAGACTAAGACCTGGCATGAGGGTATGAAAACCCTAACCAGGAGACTACGTCACTTAGGCTCCGTTAGGCTCCTTGGCTGGGGACCTCGGGATGACGTTCACTGATTGTTAGAGATACTGAATGATATGGCTGGGTGTCGCAACCAGTGGCGCTCGTGCATTCATTTATTATTCCCCTAACACCATTCCACATGAATTCTCCATCTTCTGCTTGAATTTGCTTTCAATATTTCAATCTTCCTCCTGCTCTTTTATGCAAATGGGGCACTAAAAGACGTAAACCAAAACCGGCGCACGAAGGTGCATGGTTAATGGTTGTAAAAACTGAACTGAACTGACTGATGGTTAGAGGCACTGAGTGATATGGCTGGGTGTCGCAAACAGTGGTGCTCATGCATCCACTCATTGTTCTTGTAACTTCAGTCTATATAAATGCGCTATCTTCCGCTTGAATCTGATGTCAATCTTCTAGTCTTCATTTTTCTGTTTTATTCAAATGGACAACCAAAACCGGCGGACGAAAGTGAACGGTTAATGATTGTAAGAAGTGAACTATGCATCTTTTCGCCCGGGTTCACTAGAACAGTGATGTTCGTCAGGTCGCCTCTCTTTCTGCTTCTATTTAACTTTGTTGTAGATTTATTTATGAAAACAACTCCATCCTCGTGCGAAGATAATGACATGGGTTTGCTCCCAGATGGCAAACTGCCTGGTCTGGAGTATGCACACGATATCGCACAGCTAAGTGAAGATCCAGGTACATTGCAAGCTTTTCTGGATAGCTTGAGTGCCAGCGTGGCCATGTTCCGTATGCGTTTTGCACCTTGAAAGTGTAAAATGTTACTACAAGACTGGATTGGTCCAGCACTCAGCCTCACTCTAACTGGAAAAGTAATAGAGGAAGTGGACAAATTTTGTTATTCGGGCAGCTATATCTCACTCTGTGGACACATGGTGGATGATGTGTCAGCTCTCATACAGAAGCCTCGTTGGCGTTTACCAACTTAAAATATCTGTGGTGTCGTTGCGATATCCGGCTGTCTGTGAAGGGCGGCGTATTTGCTGTAGCAGTTAGGACGATCCTGCTCTATGGTGCAGACGGCCACTACGGGAACAAAAAAGGATTGTCGGTATTGCACGAACCTGGTGAGGAAACCGGACAAGCAATACTGAGGTTAGACGATGAGCTTTAGGTTATCGCCGTCGTACACTGGAACAAGTGGTCGAGTTCCACAGATTACGTGATTGGGAAATGGGCTGCGCATGTCACCAAATAGGTTGCCACGGCGAGTGATGTTCGCCGAGGCAGATGGTGGTTGGAAAGTCACCGGTGGTGACACGACGGTACGAAAACCCTAACCAGGAGGCTCGGTTACACGGGTCCTGTTAAGCACCCTGGCTGGGTACCTCGGGTTGATCGTAAACCGATGGTTAGAGATACTATGTGATATGGCCGGGTGTCGTAGACAGTGGGGTTCGTGCATCCTCCCAATTTCTTTGCAACCTTAGTCCACTGAAATTCTCCATTTTCTCTTTGATTCTACTTTCAATTGTATTGTCTTTCTCCTACCGTCCATTCAAATAGGCAGCCAAAACCGGGGACCATAGTGCGTGGTTGACGGTTGTACAAACTGAAAATGATGCAGTACTAAGATGAAAAAGGGGTTGTATCAATTTATGCTGTCAAGTGGGGAGGCCGTTGACGTGCAACGTGTGGGGTTCTGAAGTAGATTATCATTTCACGAGATTGAGCCAGGGTATTGGAGGAATTCTTATCTACCAAAAAGGGGTTTATAGGACTCTCAGATTGTGATTGAAGTAGCTTTATGATTCAGCTACATGCTGTGATCAGTGACGTTCTTGCAGTAACCCTTTTATTCAATTTGTTCTCATTCCATACAATTCAAAGTTCAATTTTGTTCATTTTAAAATAGATTTTGTTTATCAAAAAAATTGTAAGGTACTTGTCTGACTTGACATGAGCATTTTAAGGGTTTGATTGCGACATGAAAACACGCTTTTTAATTCGAGAAAAAGTTTGTCACCACTTTTTTATTTATGAGAAAAACAGTGATCCTGCATAGAAATCTACAGTTTAATCGTCAGATTTTGTGTCATCAAAAAAATGAAACGACAACAGTAATTCATTATATTATTATTATTATTGTTGTTGATATTGACAACAATATTGTGATGATAAGCCATGATAAATGCGCCGGGAAAAGAAAAAGATAGACAGGAAGGTTAGTTGCTTCAAAATGGTCAAAGAATACACATATTAGAGGCCAACAATCAGTACAGTGTGTGCGAGTATGTGGGAATCCACACGTTCAGACAACAGAGGTGTGGATCAACAAACAAAGTTGTAGGCTAATAACAAGAAACAGTGATGAACGTGTGCACACGTGCCCGGGAACAGGTTTGACTGGATGCAGGATGACAGAGTGATATACAGCAGCGGTAACAGTGACCGAATAAGCAACGAGTTCCGGGCAGATGGAAGAAAGACAGGTAGCGATGTGCGCTTGGGTCGCGGAGCACGGTGCTCATAGTGATCCGGCTATGCAGTGATCTTGTGTAGATCCAGGACAGCAGTAGGAAAAAACACGTACGCGTGCAGTGGTTCTGGCACAGTCACTGCATCCCAATCATTCCCCGCCACCACAGCTAACACAGTCGGCTAATGAGACAGCGATGAAACGTATGATCAAACGAGAAAAAAGATAATCGCGTGCAACCCGACACGGTGAATAGAGAAATGAGTACACAATGCGTGAACCAAACAAGGCACTGCTCAACAGATGAGGAAACTCTTTCTCCCGTCCGCGACCCAGTGGCGTTTGTAGGTCACAGGAAAAAGATGGAATAGATGATGACCGTGAGTGATAGAGAGAGAAAGAGAAAAAGGGAGAATATGAACGGAACATGGTTGGGTTTAGTTTTAGATGGTGTATACGCGGGGGGGGGGGGGGTACGCATTCTCATGTCCCACGAGAGCCAATGGAGCAGTAACAGAGGAGTACGAATAAATCAGTCAGATTCGACTTATTAGTATGAGAAATTTGAGTTCGAGAATGAGACACAATACTCTGGCGCCAGTGTTTAAAGATTTGTCTTTTCACAGCCAACAATGACCCTATATGTGTATATGGTCCATGCATTCCAACTTATTGGTGGACTGAAGAGCCGCAAAATTAGAAGAGAAGCTGGCGTGCAGTAAGGGAAAACAGAACGCATAGGAAGTAAACCGCCGAGTCGCCCAGAACAACGGTGTTGAACACATGGATATCAATGGTACAGGCAAAGTTCCGACAGGGCTGGTTTGGTTCGATCAAAACCTCAGTCGTTTTACGGAATGAGTGTTAACGGACGAAGCATTTGACGACATGCAGCAGCCACGAGGGATGGTGCACGATCAGCCTCATGTAGGTAAGGACAATGATTGGCGCGATAACTCAAAAAGGCGGTGTTGAATTGATCATCGAAAGCCACTACATGCAAAAGAAGAGCATAAAAAGCAACAAAAACTGATGTTTATACGTAGAAAAGGGCCGTGTTTCATGTGAAATAAATTAGAGGAGTATACTGGACGACACAAAAGATAATGAACAAGTTTGAAGAAACAGCTCTTTTATTTCGTGCAACTTAATCATGAGAAAATTAGGATCCTCACTAGGGTTTGGTTCGCGTATAGACCTTACCTACAGCTCAATAAACAATAGGATCTATCAACTGACCTACGAGGCCACTCATGTGCCAGTTCGAATTTCATTGAGGTTCTTGGTCCTTGCAAAGTTAGATTACACAAACATTTCAAAATCCGACGAGCAATCAAACCAGAACACTGACCATAATCTTACAGTTCATCGAGTTAACTCCACCGAATCTAGGAAAACATAAAATGACATTCAGATTACATGCTACTTGGTGTCTCCATGTGTCACATCAGGTGGGTAACCAAACATATACAGAGCGGTACGTGTAGCTCAGCTGGGAGAATGTACGCCGAGGTTCAGGTGGCTTACGTACGCGGGTTTGAATCCAAATGAGGACCCTCATTTATTTCCACGTGAATTACATGAGGAATTCTTAAAAACGGGATCAACAATGAAGCTTCCTATATCCCTCAAATGGCCATGATAAATAGTGAACGTTTTACAAATACTGAATAAAATTCCAATGGGACAACAGAGAAAGACGTGACGCCATATGGACGCTACAAGATTGATCTAGCCATTCGTGTGTGGAATCAATGTTTTTAATATTGAGACACTTTACCACTTTACAAAATACCTGTTCCCTCAGTTATACAACCGAGGTTAGCGGATGTTCATCATTCACACGTAGAGCGTAATCGTACTCACATATGTTGATTGGGGCAGGCTGAAAGACAGATACAGTGAAAAACAGGAGTTCTCTGTACAATGAACCGTGGAGGCACCAAGCGCCCTGATGCGTATCAGTGCATCGAGTACGACAGCCGGATGAAGTCGATTTAGATTTTCCGTGAGTGCTGACACTCGACCCAGGGACGAGATTTCCTTCTGGCGATGTACGATCGATTCTGGATTTGTTTCCATGATGAATCAATCTCGATATGGGTTTTCCATCCAGAATGCAAGCACGAAAAGCGATTAGTGTGTCCAGGGCCTGTGAAATATGGCCACCGCGAACCGCGTTCAACATCTGAGCAATAGTAGCATCCATTGGACAATCGGATGTAGTACTCAGACCAAGCGTACCAGCCGGGACAATTGGATTCGTTTCCAGACCACCAGGTACAAGACACCAAGATGATTTGTAATCTAAAAGAAGAGGCAGCGTCGAGACAGATGACTAATTCATCATTATTTATTAACTGAGAAAGGATCGGGCTAGATGGGGGTCATTGGGAGCCTGACCTAAAATTATCAGCAAAATGGCCAGTAGACAATTTTATTAAAACGAGCTAGTTGTCAGGAGTTATGTTTACTTTTTCTGCAATGTTTTGTTACGAGCGGTCAATTCATCATATATGGTTAGTCCAAGAAGATCCCCTGAAGGTTTACCTCCTGGCAAGGGTTCGGCGGGCGTTCTTAACGAACGACACGACGGTTAGACTACAACAAGCTGTCTGAACCACCACGTCTAACAGTGTTCCAGAACTCGCTAGCTGAAAAGCTAGAACCAACCCCACCTGATAACATCAGTCAGCACTGGTCGCTTATCAAGAATGCTCTGCATTCTGCTGGCTTAATTAGTTGTGGCCTAACACGTCGTGCCCCATCACCCTAGATTTCTGCGGAGTCTCTATGACTTCTCGACGCACTCTTATCAATCCCGAATAGCAGTGAGCATAATGAAATACGATACCAGACAAGTCGTAAGCTTAACCCAAGCCACGCGGGGACCGCGAGATCTCGTGGACTCAACGCGCATCGGAGATGGAACGTGCTGCCGCCATGGGGGACTTCCGTAACTTATCCCATCTCATCCGGGTCATCGGTATGAAAACCTTGNAGCGACAATTTACAAAGCTGACGGCTCGCCCATACCTGATCAACAGCGAAGTCTTGCACGCTGGGCAGAGCACTTTGAGCCACAGTTTAGCTGGTCGCAACGTCAGCTTCTCACACCGCTCTTGAGGTCCATGCTCCATGGTCTGTCTCAACAGACCCACCATCTGAGGCGGAAATCCGTAAGGAGATCCAAGCCGTGGGACCACGCAAAGATGATGGAATAAAGCCTATTAGAGTAAGACAGGCTTTGTTCTCTACAGTTTGGAACACGGAGTAGGTCCCCTCATCGTGGGGGCACCGACAGTTCTCTCCATCTTCAAAAAGGGTCCGCGCAGTGACTGCAACAATCATGGGGAATAACCTGATCCCGATAATTTC